CGGAGAGATCTCGAGCAGTGAACGTCCAGGCTATGAGGAGAGGGCAAGGTCCGGGACATGGGCTGGTCAGAGTACCAAGCGAGGAAGCGAGCGATAGCCGTATAGTAAACAGCGGGGTGTAGACCCTCAGAGGGCGTGAACTCGTCCCCTCCCCGACTATGCGGAAGCTCCCGCTTGAACCTCGCAAACTCTAGCAGGTCGGGATGCGCGGCGAGGTACTGCGAGGAAGGCCAGCGGTGGTATTTCTCAAGCGCCAGGTGGACAGAGAGGTCAAAGATTCGTCCGTTCGGACGAATCTGTGATTGGACCCGCGGGAGAAACGGAGATGACCCCTGGAGGAAGAAGCGCAGCTTCTGGAGATGGCTCGCCCTCACCAGCGTCTTGAACATGAAGCCATGCTGGACGAGCCCGAGCTTTGAGAGCTCTTCGTTGAGGGTAGAAACCTTCGCTCGGAGCTGACTAGCATGAAATCCATCCGTGCCGATAGGCAGGCCGCCAAGTGTAATCCCGCCAGTGACGACCTCGAAGTGAAGAAGTTGAGTCTTGAGACGGCGCTTAAGGCTCTTCTTCAGCTGCGAGAGATCAGGGTGTTGATGCCAGGAGGGGATGTAAACTTTCGACTCGCGAGGTTGAATCTCTAGCTTCAGATCAGCCACCATGTACTTCTTCATAGCGGACGTAGCTGCAACGGCATCCTCGAGTGGACCGACAAGCACGACGTTGTCAGCATAGGCCAAGACTCGAACAGAGGGAAAAAGCTCTGCGATATGGAGGAGCAGGGGGTGGATACTGTGGCAGAAAAACACGCTGGAGTGGACATCGCCCTGACACTCGGACGCCCGAGGTACACTGAACGGAGGCTGACTGACTTTTGTGAAAGAGTCGAAGGTCAGCAGAGTCTCCATAGTAGCTGGAGAGGTAGGAGGCGAACAAACGGAGATGCTCGCAAGAGGGCAAGCTTGCGCCTTCAGTGATGCTCCCATCAAAGTAGTCGCGACTCGCACGTCCCTCGATTGCATCGAAGAGAGCCTGGCGGTCGAGGGAGTTGAAGGCGTTCTTTGCATCCAAACTCACCAGCACTGTGGGGTTGGCAACATCCTCATCATCACCGCGAGCGTGAAGGGGCAGGAGCGCTGACGCGGTTTGCGAGAACTTCAGACAGCCGTCTCGATCGAGCCCGAAGCGTCTGAGAAGATTCGCAAACATCGCGCTGCATATGCTATGACTACTCCTCCTCGAGCGTTCATCCCTCTTGCATAGTAGAGGATTGCCATCTCGACGGACGGTACCCTGCATCCTGACACCCTCCGCTTGGCTTCATCTGGTATCTCGCGGACATCATTGCTCAGCGCTCGATGCCTCTTGAGGATGCGGCGTTTGGTCGCACTTCGTGCCTGATGACGGCCCTGCTGCTGACATAGGATTAGGGTTTAGGGTTTAGGCTGAGGTCTTGGCTCGCAAACGCGCCGCCACCTATCAGCGCCTCACCATGCAGCTGACGCTGGAGGCGCTCTTGTCTGGTGCGAGGCGCATGACGCCCTTGCGGGCGCAAGCACTTCTCGAGCCACTGTCGGAGGACAGCTCCTCCTCGGACTTTGTCGAGTCGCCCGAGGGGGAGTCTTCGCCGGAGGTCTCCGACTCCGATGGGGGAAACACGTCGAGTGGCGCCGACGATCGGCGCGGAGCTGGCGAGGCGTCTCCGTCCCTCACTGTGACGTCGGGGGCCTCCGGAGAGCTCGACACCACTGGGAAGCTTGCTGCTGGTCCGAGCTCGCCTGCTTCCTCCCCGGCATCGGTCGGGTCACGCCGGTCCTTGGGCATTGCTGCGGCGTCGCCGCCGTCACGGGCGGCTCCCGCTGACTCGGCTACCGCTGACTCGGAGGCTAGCGAGGAACAATGGATTTACTGGCAGAAGGTAAACAGTCCCTCACTGTGACGTCGGGTGCCTCCGGAGAGCTCGACACCACTGGGTATGTCACTGGGGTGCTTACTGCTGGTCCGAGCTCGCCTGCTTCCTCCCCGGCATCGGTCGGGTCACGCCGGTCCTTGGGCATTGCTGCGGCGTCGCCGCCGTCACGGGCGGCTACCGCTGACTACCGCTGACTCGGAGGCTAGCGAGGAGGACTACCTCGAGCGGTACCGTGTTCCTGTGTCCAGCCTCCCT